AGAGAGAGAGAGAGAGAGAGAGAGAGAGAGAGGGAGAGAGATCGATGGGTGGAATAATAATAAGTTACTGAATATATTATCCAAGCCGCGTTCGGGGTTGTGCCCCATTATTTAAGGTGCTTAATTACCAAAGGAAACCAGCGATCGATCACTGCCCTACGTCATCGCGCAGCTATTGTGTCGCATCCTGTTTCAGTCGTGCATCGTCATTTCCCCGATAGCTCGAAATGGAGGTCCACGAGAAGACAGAAAGAGAGAGAGAGAGAGGGGGGGAGAGGGAGGCAGAAAAAAAGAAGAGCGAGGAATCCAAGAATAATTCGCAATCATGCGTGAACAGCTGACACTTGAGATTAGGTAAACGCTCTTTGCGCCAACGATTTGCGCTAAATCGTCTTTACTCAGCTTGGAAACGCGCAAGAAACGCACAATCTGCTCGAGCGATGACTCCGCACGGAACTGGAACCGCGAAGATCATGCCGGTTTTCTCCCATTACCTTAATTATATGTTCCGCAAATAAAAATGTACCTCATCGCGTTCCATCGCCGTCGCTCCGCCGAAAAAGCTCGAGACATTATGTCTACTACTGAGAAACTCATTTATAATTCGCGACAAAATTCGAAGAAGAAGTCTATTTACAAAGGAAAGTTCGAAGGACGCACCCCTTCGGTGTCGAAAACGCTTAATATTTAGTTGACAAATTTAAATCATACCAGGAAACGTGTAAAGAGAGGAAGTAAAAAATAATACGACTTCATCCTGGCTCTTATCCAGAATTTTGCATCTGTCTGTGACTGCAACTTTTCACATTTAAATTTATCTATTTAAATTCATCTATTAGCGAACGAAGAACTTCGCAACCTTATCACTCGTCTTCAACAGGAAAATTTTGATAACAAAAAATATTCGTGTTTATTCTAAAAATAATTTGCCGATTCTTTTCTTGGATTCCGATCGAGCTTATGATCGGGTAGATGAAAGAAGATTCGCGGGCCACGCGGGAGATAAAAAAATCGACTCTTCAGCCCATTGAAGAGCAGAGGATACTGCTACTAACCTAAGTATACCCGTAAAAGTATGACAGTAAAGTCCAAGATGCCCATCGTCTGGTAGCAACTGGGCGTAAACCGGAGGCGTGGACTTGCTTGGGCTCTCTCCGTGCCACGATTGGCCGTTGTTAATGACGGTGTCGGGAACGTGGGTCTCTCTTGCTACTCTGTGGAGCGGCATACGATCTCACGACGACCAAGTCAGCGCTGTTCCCCACTGAAGTTCCCCAGTAGGGGAGAACTACTTGCCAAACAGTTGGTGGGAGCAGGCTATCGCCAGTTATCCCCGATACCTCATCCCTGGGAAGCTTAGTCAGGATCAACGAGTCGATCTCTCAAGATCTATCAGAGCCGTTTGACGAACTTAGTGACGAGTCGTAGATTCTCTAAACAAGCATCGCGAAGTACCCGTCGGACCAGTTGAGCAGTAGCGTGACGAGCAGTATGAACTGACCTCGTCAATTGACCGTCCGAAAAGAAGACCATTAGAAGTTGCGACACGAGTTGTATACTCGGCACGGACGTAATTTCGACTTTTCACACGTGTTTTTCATATCGCGATCATCGACGGGACATCGTAATTGAACAGTTTAAAGCGTGAGATTGTGGGGGAGCAATGAAAGGACCGTCAAAGTCGTTCTTACCAAAGTACTACGATACCGTTCAGTGAGGTGCGATAGTGGCGTTCGTAGTATTCGGTGTCGAGGAAACTCGTCCGAATTACCTTCCCTCGGCGGCTCGGACTAGCTGAGATGACGATTACTATTAATACGCCGATGATGCGACCATGCTTCACCACATATTCTTTCCAAGGTAATGTTATCGTGTTTGCTGTGTTAATTGGAGCTGGCTTCTGTTAATTTTCACGATATGGCTGATTCTATAATCCACTATCACTATTTTTATGTTTCCACTGCTTCATGTATTCACACGTTAATAACATTATTCAATCAATTTATATTATTATATTATTTTTGTCAATTCATATATTTTTAGTTAATTGAAATTGAAACTTGAGATTACACACACATACAGTAATGTCGGATCGTAAAAAGTTAAGTGAACATGAAATTAAGTGTGTTTCAACATAATCCGTAAACGACTGATAACCGTGAAGTTTTTGCTAACGATACTTGTGAATTATGTTGAAACTTGAAAGGCCCTGACCTTATCTTACTGCGTCTTCCATAGTATCTCTTATTCAGTACAACTGAAGAACTATACCTGCCTAGCCGGTGAAAAGCCATACCTGCTTTAAAACGACTAGAATATTGACGTTAATGACCGTCATAAATTACCGAATAACCTCTCTGGCCAGGAGACGTGTTCATTTTTCACCAGTACTTTTCTCACATCTCATTCAGTATTCGATATTTTCTCACGCTCAGAATGCTTTCTGTTTTTCTTCACACATATAAGAAGTGATATCAAATGTACAGAAAATCCTCGAAGAAGTAGTGACATTTACTTAGAAAAAATTTAATCAATGAAGTAGTAAGCGGTATAAACCGAACGCGAGATGTCGATGTAAGTGATGCGATGTATATTAAAGAAATCTCGAGACCTTTTAATTAAATATTGTACAATGAAAATATGTTAACAATTAGAATTCGCTGTAAAAACAAAAGTATATTTAGATTTAATTCTGTTTTGTTTATTTACCGTCGAATGATCTCGCAGTTAAGTCTGTAGCTATCGTTCGATCACGTGATATCGTTGGTACCTTCGAGGAAATCTATTATGAAGCTGTTTAGAAAGCTTCTATCGAAATTATTCTGCCTTTCGTTCAGACATTCTGAACGAAAGGCGAGTCGTATTCGATTAACGAGTTTAGCTTTTTTTTTTAACACATAAGAAATTGCGACAATTTTTTTGTAGTACTTTTTATACATCCCGTAGAAAGTTTCATATGCGACTGACCTTTTTCGGAATTTCTTGCTCATCATTGCAAAAACAATGCTGAAAAACTGAAATTTATATACTTTTGAGAAACGTGGATGGCTCGAGCGTTCTGTAAAAAAAATCAACTATATAATTGTTCAATTAGCTCCCTTTGTTCACCCTGGAGTTGAAAAAGATCTCAAAGGCAAGAAGTTTATATAAGTGTTCACGAAGTCGTCCACATACAGAGTGACCCTTAAAACCTGCCATTTATTATGTCATAAATTCGACGTCCCTTTGCCGAGGCTGACTTCTGTAAGTGCTGTATCCGAGTGGCATCCATTCAGCGTTTCGCGTTACTGGGAAGAAGTAGCATTGGCCACGAGGAAGGGAAATGTCTCTTTTCCTTTCTGTCTCTCGATTTTGTTGCGTGGGGGTCAGTCGACAATACTCGCGCGCGACGACGGTATACATAATGACGGGTCTCGCTAATTAAATAACGCGATTTGTCAGTGTCTCAGCGCGTAATTTGCGCTGGTAATTAACCGGTCGTGATGATTTGCCAGTTGGAAACGAGAAATGCGAAAGAGCGCGCGCTCGCGGAAATCGCGGCGGTAAATGATGGCGGACGATTAGCAACTCGACGAACGCACTTCCGTAAAATCCTCGAGGCAAGAAAATCCTCAGCGATGGTCATTAATTACTTTGTGGTAGAATGCAGAATAATCTTTTTTTCTTCAACTTTGTAATTTCATGATCATATTGATTTATGATTCGCGCCGCGCACGCGCGCGCGATTCCCTCGCCGAGGAAGGAAAGAAACCGAAGAGCTTTTTCTCGCTCTTTCTCTTTCGATTTGTGAAAAACCGGAATCGCACGAAAACCACGAGAGCTAACGCGATTTCCCATGGTCTCATTTGCTAAGCGAACGATCAATTGAGAAACGAAAAGCCACTGAGGGAACGAGATGGTTGACTCAACTCAGATTATAGTTATTTCGGCCCCAGGAATTTTTCTGGTTGTTCTAACACGAAAATCATAGTGGTAACATGCATTTAAAGTTATTATCGCTAACATTACAGCAAAATTTAATAAGAACAAATGGTTTTTCCTTTACCATAATTTATAGTAATTATTTCTCTATGTGATTGTAGTTATATACGTACCAAAAATGTTCCTCTATGTGCACTTACGTGGGAGAGCGATCGCTATCGTCGGACACGCATAGTTTTTCGACCGTCGATTGCACCCGCGGCGATGCATGGCCATTACGGTTATGCAAGCCGCTCGGCGTATTCTGCGCAATCGGATAGCGGTTTCCTTTTTCTGCAGGCGCTTTTTGCCGGCCGCGTGGTCTGCAGCCGAGGAGCCCGCGTCTTGTCCTTTGTCTTACGCGACAAAGTGTTTTACGCGGAAATGCGTTTAATTACAAACGAAAGCGTGCGACCGTCGCGTTTCTCGCCTCCCGACGACGCGACAACGACGCGAGGGGTGTGTGGGAGAGATCGCAGTATCTAATATTTTCACCAACCTGGAAACGTGCAGATGCAGTAACGCGTATTATATATCGTTCTGTTCGCCTCGCGTCCGCGTAAAATTGCGCCCCGGACTATTTCTCTCCCCCTCCCCCTCCTACTCCCCCCGGGATCGCCGTGTTTTACGCGAGTAGATTTACTAGGGAAACGAGAGACGCTTTGTATCCGGATCAGGGAAGTGAAAGCCGCAGAATCGCGATCGTTCGCTTCCTCCTTGGCTCCGGGTCTGCAAGTGACAAGTAATTCGCAGCGAGTAATTTTGTGGGCGTTAGAAACTACGGAATTAATTTAATCCGCGTCGGTGTGCTGCGTGACGCGAGCACCGGTACTTATGCCGTGGCGTATCGGTTGCTATTAAAGTAATTGCATACGTACGTTTGGCGATTTTGCGCGGGCCCCCAACACAGAGGGAAGCGAGAAAGGATATTCTAATTTCCACGTGACGGGGCGTAACCGTATATTCTGTTGTCTTCCTACGCATCTCGTTTGCGTTGCGCGCAAACCGCTACGCGGTTGCGGATCGGAAATGTGTCGCGGAATCTTATCGCATACAAGATTTTCCGTCGAACCTCCTCATCTTATTATCCGCGGATGCCAATTTTTTGCAAAATTTCCACACGCTATACGAGTCAGGGACGTTTCGCGGCGTTTTGCGGCACACGGTTGGCGGAGCACGCTCGTCTGGAGCATCGATGTAAATCGATTAGCATGAATAACGCCGATAGTTAATGAGCTGATTACGTTAACGACACACGTAATGCGCCGTCGTAACTAATAAGAATGTCGCCGGTTAACGAAGGAGATCGCCGTCGCCGCCGTCTCGCCTGGACGACCCGACTTTTCGTCGCGCTCTGTCATTGAGACGCCCTTTTTTCACCCGTCCATCGGGCCGCTCGTAAGAGCGAGCGTTTTTCCATAATATCGAACGTGCGATTGCGCGTCCCCTTTTTGCCGATCCCGATCGTTTCGTTATTACCGGCCATTACTTACTTACTCTCGACGATTGTGATATCGCCGCTTCGAGTCTAACTGATGAATCTGTTCTGCTCCTCACAGAGCCCGACGTAATACTCCTTTTCTTCTCTCTTTTTCTTTTATTACGCACGAGCAAGGGGATCGCCGAAGTAACGCGTCACCTTGAAACTTAAATCGCGTTCGCGTCGCCGCGCCTTTAAAGTTCGCGTTGGCGACTGTATTCGCGCGCGAGTCGCGCCTTGCCGGCAGTAAAAATCGCAACGACTCTATTTCCTCGAGCGCGCGCGTTCCTGCCGGCCGCTGCGGCCGGCGAGATCGGGGCCGAGATCGTCGTCGTGTAACGCGAAATTAAATAAGCCAAGCAAATTATACGCTATCATTGTTGTGCGTCGTAAAACGCGCGGGATTTATTGGACTTATCGGTAGTTACAGCGTTGTCGCTCAATACGCGCCAACGGCTCGCACTTATAAAGCTCTCCTTTCCTTCTCGCTCACATTCTTCTCTTCCCTCGTGTTCCTCTCGCTCTTTCTTCCCCACCTTTCCGGCTCGCGTGTGAGTATTCGCAGACGCGATTTCTAGTTGCTCCATTTTTTCAAATTGTTTACCGAGGCGGCTTACCGGCTTACGGTTTTGCCACAATTACTTGCTTATACATTGAATGCACCGAATGTAAACAGAGACATTGTCCACCGACACAACCGGCCACGAGAGAACCAATACTTTTAGGTCGTTTAATATAATTGATATGTGACACATGAATATATTTTGTCTTATTATACATATAGTATATTGAGTAATTTATGTACATGATGTATATTTTAATAGAATAGATCAAATTACTCTTGATGAATAAAAATTCATCAAAAGTAGTGTCGCAACGCAAACGGAAATATATTAGATTTTCTACTGGATATTGGTAAGTGGAAGTTTTGTGGTTAAAGATAACAGAAAAATAAGAAATAGATGGTAATAAGAAGTACTAATAAATAAATAATGGTAGCAAGAAGAATAATAAGATTTAAAAAAATATTAAAAGAAAGTAAATAACGAAAAGCAATCAATGCACAAATTATCAAAGACAAACGGATATTTGTTTTTTGCTTTATTATTTTTCTGAGTAGGAAATTATTTCATCGTATTTCTTAATATTAATGAGATCTTTTTTATTCGAAATGATAAAATCGTCATATAAACTAATACATCCAAACGCTCCAATTCTTGTGGAACTTACGTGCATACCGATGTATTATAACGCAACAGTATCACCTATCTAATCATTTTAAAGAAAATTCTTTCCGCAGGTAATTGACAACAATTTTTAACAAAGAAATTTTGGCCATCCATTTTCATCGTATACAGAGTATTTCAGAATCTATCATGCTGTCCGTCTTAACAAAAAACGCAGGATATAATGGTATAATAATACTTATATTATGTTTTATCTCAATTTTTCCGCTATGGCGAAGATACTAGTCGTTAACAAATAAATACTAAAATACACAAAATATCATGTTGCTCGCTGATCAATTTCTACCAAAAAATAATGCGACTTAAATAGATTGAATCTACACACTTCTTTATTCTCTGACAAAACTTTATCTATATTCTTCTATATCTATATTCTAATTATATCTATATTCTTAACTATATCTATATTCTAACTTGATATTCTAAACTGAAGTTTGCAAAGTTCTCAAATTTTTCAATCTTATCGCTTTAACATGAAACGAATTTTCGATTGATTTTTTATTAGTTAGATCTATTGCTAATCATTTCAAGATCTCTTGCACTTCCTGTACTCTTTCTGTATCCTTTCGGTGAAAGTACTTTTATTTGTAACGCATGCTATTCTGAATTCAGTTTAATACATTTCCTTACTCTTTTGGCGTATTTTTCAATATTCTATTCACTTAGCTCCACAAATGCATGTTGCATGTACTAGAATGCAATTATTAATGTTCAAGTGGACAACTATTGTTCATGTGATTGCATTACGGACACAGTAAAATATAGCAAAATATATATTTAGATCTCGGTACGATACCAGGACAAGGTCGTGTGAATCAGCTTGGCGGTGTCTTCATCAATGGACGACCACTACCCAATCATATCAGGCTCAAGATAGTCGAGATGGCCGCGTCGGGTATCAGGCCTTGCGTTATATCGAGGTACATTTCTATCAGAGATTCCCTTATGGAATTGTGTGGCTGTTTTTCTCACAAAGAGTAAAAGAATCCTTAACGTCTATCTCTGATGGCATCCTTCTGAGGGCAGGCAGCTACGCGTGTCCCATGGTTGCGTCTCGAAGATCTTGAATCGCTATCAGGAGACTGGGAGTATTCGACCCGGCGTAATCGGCGGCAGCAAACCGCGAGTTGCAACACCTGAAGTGGAAGCGAAGATCGAAGAGTACAAGCGCGAGAACCCGAGCGTCTTCTCCTGGGAAATTCGAGATAGATTGGTCAAAGACGGCATCTGTGAGAAAGCAAACGCGCCCAGTGTATCCGCGATTTCTCGACTGATCAGAGGTCGTGACAACGAAGACGATGCGAGAGTTGGAGAAGGTAAGAAAATTTCAAATGACAATTTCGCTTATCGGCTGGGAGTATGAGTCGAATTCGTGTTTGACGTTTGGCATCGGAATATTTCATTAGTGCTGTAATTACGTATTTAATGTACTAATTGGCACGCGGAGTGCGAGATACCCGAAGGTGCAGTCTCGACAATAATTTTGAAAAAAAGTTTCTTATGGAATTATTTAATTTCCTTAAATATGTGTGTGCGTGCGTATATACATACACAATTTTTATATATAAATAAGTATTTTTTCGGATGTTTTCATTCATCATTTAATAGGTTGTTAAACGTCAGTGTGAAGAAAAGATCTCCGAGACGTCGTATAATATCCCATCCACCCCGTACGAAATTAACTTCTATTTCGAATCAAACGAAACAGCAGATCCTTTGTGTCTCTATCATACTGACTGAAACACCTTCCTCCCGGGGTTATTCACTGCTCGCTCGAAATTCTCTCGCTAATGGCGACGGCGAGTTTCTCGAGCGGGAGTCCGCCCGGTTCTCGACTGCCCGAGTTTCTTCCCGCGTCCTAACGGAGATTGATGATCGCCGGGAATCGGCGAATCAGCCCGACGCCGAGTATTCTCGCGCGGCACATGGAATTGGATTATAACGACATCGACTCGTATAAGCGGGCCGCGGCTGCTCGTTACGCGACGCCTCTTAAAATTGAATCAGCCGTTCCTTTATGTTTCTTGCGAGCGTCACGGCGACGCGGTGAGACGCGCGAATTCGCAAAAATCGGCCGAAACACGCTGTGGCGAGAATAGCGAGAGGGTGAGCGCTTCCCTTCGGATTCGTCACGCTGCCTGCAATCCGAACGCATCTCGCAAAATCAAAGCCAGAAATGGATATACTTTACGAGCCACACGTCACATATCGCGACTGAACTAAAGGCGCAGAGAGATACACCAGACGTATCGGCTAAATCGCTGCATCATACTCTCTGAATTTTTTGAAGTAAAATCTCACTGAAAATGAGTACACTCGCTCAAAATGATGATGCAAACACTGCCAGATACGCAAACGCAACTCGGAATCGTAAGAGAGGATATTTCAATCGATTAGAGTAAATCTGTTTCTCTGTGATAATGGAATACGTCGGATTCACTTTTTACTCTCGAGTGAAAAATTCCTTCAATGATCTAAAGTGGAGAGTTTCAATCTGTATAAGTGAAAAATCATTCGAATTCGAGTGACACGTTAGTCAGTAAAATTTTATTCAAAACATTTAAAAAACAAGCGTCATATAATTCGTTCCATTGCATTCAACGAATTTGTGGTTTCTGCGACACCTTCAAGACCTACCTGCCGGGTTAGGTTTCACAGAGTGTCGTTGCACCAAACACCCACTGAACACTACCCCACTACCCTGAACTGACCCACTTGAATCGGCGACGAACGAGCCCGAGGATGCAAACGTGCTGTTTCGCGCCACGGTGAAAGGACCTCGAATCCGCCGACGTGCGCGCGGCACGCCTCATCACCTGGCCCACACGATGGACCACCGTGTGGAACTCACCACGCTCGGCGAACGGTGAATGAGTAAATTAAATGCTCGCGTATTAATCGGCCGCGCGTTTCTCGGTCTCGGAAATTGCCGGTTCGCCTCCGGTACGCGGCCCGGATCGCCTCCCTCCGGTAGCCGGCCGGCCGCACCGGCCGGGCTCTCTGTAATTTTCTCGCCGCCCGGCACATGCCCACGTGTGTTGTACGCGCGTATGCGTATGCTCGGGCCTGACTCGTGCACGTAAGGTGTGGTGGGCCTTAGACCGCGTGCGAGCGCCGATCGTCCTCGAGAGAATGGACGGACGATGAAGGACGCGCGTCTAATGACGCATGGGTGAGAATTGGGTTGGTTCCCTCTTCTACAACGTTCTTGAAGTATTTCTTCAAGTATCGAGGAGAAAATTTTGAAGGGATGATTCTAAGTGGAACGACAATAGGAAAATGCTCGGTTGTACTGACCAAAAATCACGTCGTTGCGAGGAAAATAAAATGGACTCATTACTTCCAAGTTATTGTCTCTTTTGATTTCTTTGAAATTTTATTCGAAAAGTTTAGGCGAGTCACTCGAATTCAAGAGTTTTTTTATTTTATTTTATTTTATTTTTATTTTATTTTATTTAGTTTTTTTATTTTACAGAGTGAATGCTTTTCTCTGAATTGTCGAATGGGTACATCAATATTTCATTTAAATGCATTTTGCCAATTTCCAACGCTGCCGAGAAAACGATACAGCCAGACTGAGATTACGGCGCCTAATGTTCTAAAGAGATTCTCACGAGATGCGGATATCGGCGCTATGAGGGGTTGCTTCCTACCATGCTGACAAGACAAATGAAATGTATACCGACACGGATTCACCCTGAGAGATTGCTGAGAGTCTGTTAGCCGGCGAAGATGAAAGGAACCACGATTGGTAGGAGGGCAGGGAGAAGCCCTGCGCCTGTAAGTCGATCGTTCTGACGGTTAGGCGACCCCTCCGTCTCCTCCAAGAAAAAACGAAAAAATAAAGAAACTAGAGTAGAAATAACACGACCTCGCGAAGAAGTAAGCAACGAAAAAGCACACCGTCTATTAAACGCTCACGAAACCGCGAATGCATGTCGCGCTGCCGGCGTTGTCGAGAAGAAGTGACGCCTTTGTTCGACGAACGTGTCCGATTGTTTTTCTCGCGTGTGAAACGCGTCGTGCGGTATAACTATGCGTGTAAACTGAGGCGACAATTGGGCCAGGGTGTGATATATGCGACACTTTAACGAGATTATTGGGTCGACACACCGCAGAAATAAATGATCAGATCTTGTCGTCTTATAAAAATTTTGTAAAATAAGAGATATACTATTCTTTATTAAAGTGCATCGGCAGAGGAATATTTTGCATGATAATCAGAAATTATAAGATAGAATAATTGCAAGGATTACATGGGCTGACTTGTTGGATCGATTGTATCATGAATGCAATTGACATTTTCGCAAGAGTATAAGATCGTCTTCAAAGTATGAATTCATAACATCGAAATGTTGATCTCGTTGGCGAGCATTTGGCTCGAAAAACCAACAATTTATATATTTTGATGTGCATTTACAAGAAGAAAGATTTGATACAGTGACGATCATACCACGCAGAATTGCGTGATGCGATATAATATCGTCGTCGCGGGGCGATTTCTCTATTCGATTAGACTCGAGGTGGGTGTCAATTTCTTCTAGCATATGTAATCTTACGATGCACCTGCAATCCATCCTGGCGAGAGTAAATCGTGCCGGTAAATCATGAATTACGCGAATGAACCCCTTTCGATCTCGATAGAGATATCACGCAAGATTTCCGTGGCCGTAACCGTGGTATTGTTTTTGCCGACGCGTCGATCCGGGCGAATCTTGAAAGCAGAACAGAAATTATATCCCTTGCGGGGCTAAGCGTTCGCGGCCGGTCGGTAATTCCCAAAGTTTTCGAACCCCCATATTTATCGGGGTGAATGATTGCCAGGTTTGCTGGGCGATCGGCATTAGAACGAAGTCGCCATGTAAATTCGTCACTGCACGTAGCAATCTCTTGGATGTGGAACAGTATCATCACTGCGATCGAACACTTGTTCGTAATACGGTACAGAAGCTTTGCATAACATATTAACGCGGATTCTCCGTCGTAAAAGTTCGGCTTCAATGAAACGCGTGTGCCCTTGTTTGTGCCAAACTTCGGTTGACCCCGCTTAGGAATATGCATGATGTCACAGCGATAATACACATCACTGTGGTTAATAACGATTACGTAAAAGGTTTATAACATTAACGACTACAATATAATGAATCACGTAAACGAGACGTCACCGTCTGTGAGAAAATTTTGGGAGCCGAAATACAGTCTGAATGCCCGAGAATCCAACACGTCGATCGCCTTGGGACAGTTTTATTTTTATCGCTCGATATTCGAGCGCAAACGAGCGATACTCATTTCGCGCGCATTTCGTCGGAAGGAAGTGATTGCCCACACGAGAGGTCCTGGCGGCACGTCGGTGCTATTTCTGATCGTTCATCGCACGTGGACGTGGCTCGATCGTGTGGCTCGGGCTTAGGGTTGTTGGACCACGTCGTCACCCGCACTATTTCTATCCTCGCGGATAGGTGTCGGCGGATTCGTGAAACCCTGGGCGCACGGCGAGAGAACGAAAAGTGAGCAGAGGACGGCGACGGGAGACGATGGCGGTGGCGGAAGGAAAAAAAAAGGCACGGCCGGGAATAGAGCCCGTGTCGAATTTGCATTAACGCGGGCCGTCCTGACGTCAGGCGTCGTCGCCCGATTAGTCGCGCGCGCTCGTAAACTCGTGTCCCGAAACCGACGACAATCCCAAAATGCGCCGACGGATTGCACCGCCCGCGCACGCGGAAGCAAAAAGTCTGCCTTCACGACGTCTGCTTGTCATATGCCCGCTGCGGTTGCTCGCGATGAGACCGCGCGGAAGAATGTCTGCTTTGAGAGCTCGAGTGCGATATGGACTCGAGCTCGGCGGAATCGTAAGGAGGTAAAATTCGCGAAGTGTTCACTATACAAAGATACACATAGTTGCGTATCTAAAAAATATATGGATTAATTAAATGCCTGTCACGTCTCTTTCTGTGGTCTCTATTTGTTTGTTTGTATATCGCTTACGACTTTCGGATTCAACCGCATTTTCACGCTCGTACCTGCTTACCTAACTGACACTTGCCGGATCTTGATGTCTCATCTGTCTTTTCAATACGCTGCTGCCTTTAGAATTCTCTTTCAGTTGGAAGAGAAGTATTATATGCTTATTTCACACTCGGTCTACAATCTGCTTGTTTACACTCACGTGACCTCCCTCATTTCACCTGCCTCTCCTCCCTGCCGCCGCTGCCACCACGTCGTGTACAATACGTACGATCGTTTTGCGCGGTTTCTTTGTCTCTTGAAAGTTAACGGGTGACAACGAGCGTTTCGCAATTACTTCATGGCTTAATCGCGCAATCTTTCCGTTGACCTTGAGGTCGGGAAAATCGGACTCGTGTTGTCGAGTAGTTTTTAATGGTCGTACAGTATGTAAATCACAATATAAATTGAAGTGGAAGACAGAATGAATTGTTGAGAATACTTTTTTTGGGCAAATGAGAACCAATACGCTAATAGAAAAGCCAATCGGCATAGAGGATTATGAAGAAACTCTTCGGAACACTAACCTAGAGTTGTTGGTGCTCCGAGGAGTTTCTTCATAATCCCATATATTAAGAGATTTCCGGAATAAATAAGAAATAGCATTAAGAAATATAACTCCCACACATCATTTATCTGTTTAAACAAGCTCAATAACTTTATTAAGATTCTCAAAGACAAATTACTTCACAACTCGAATAACAATATTGTTTACTGTATTAATTGCAATAATTTTGATGCCTCTGATGATGTGGACCAAACAAGTAAACAATTAAAAATTTGAATTAGAGAAGATAGAAGCCTCAAGTATCAACCTAGAAACCAATTATCACGCAATATTATTGAATTATCGGTTGTGTCATTGCATAGATTAAAAGGACATAAAATATAATATAATACTATAAAGTATAAAAAAAGTTAAAATATATTGTTGAAAAGTACAGACAAATTTTGAAATAAAATTTGATCTTATTCAGATATAATATAATTTGGTTATTCAGATTTATCTAATTTACAAATAATATAATAACTATTGTACCTAACAACAGGTTTAAAATTCAAGGTTCAAGGTTTAATATATTGACGTTTGTCGCTAGATACAACAGCTGTTATATACTTGCAGATTAGACTATTCGAGATTAGAAAAAAAAGTCCTGTATCATTTTGCAAATAACACACAAGTTTCTGAGTTATTAATTAAAGAAACCTCTATATATTATCATTTTCAACCATTAATTTGTTTACAAAATGTAGAGAATTTTTTACTCAATTTAACTTGTTTTACCTTCACACGAGTAGTTGTACAAATTATATCAGAATTATATAATTATTATTTTTTTTTTCGTTTGGGAAGATTAAGGACTAGACGAAAAATTATTATAAAGACACTAAAGTTACCGTAGGGTATTTATATTCAGTCAATTACTCTCAATCATTTTAATTAAATTTTAATAAAACTAAATGTTTAGACGAATGTTTTAGTTTTAGTTATAGTAACAAATATAACTTTTCGTTCGTATATTGTTTTATTTCAGTTATATAAACTGAGATTTATTCTGTGTAATAATACTTAGTTAAATAGCGCGCACCTGTGCTTTTCTAGTATATTAAAAATTTTTGGGAACTACATCAACTTTGCGCCAGTCATATATTGTAATTAATTTCGCCACTGAAGAGGATCCAAACAGAGGACCGAAACATTTGTGTGTTAAATTAATAAATATAGTTGATTCTTCATCTACTGTTGCTGTTTATCCGCTTTTTATCGGCGTATTGGCTCTCGCTTGCTCAAAAAAATATTCTCATTTATTGTATATCTAAGAAAACTCACTTCAATAATTTGTAATTTGTTAGAATGAATTATGTTCAATATCATAAAAAAGAATTGTTTCTTCTATTAGTCTAAGTGTATAAATGCGCTTTCCTGATTCAATAATAATACCTGTTTCAGTTAAGACAAGTTCTGGCTCCGACTGTGACAGCGAGCCGGGCATTACTTTGAAGAGGAAGCAACGCAGAAGCAGGACGACTTTCACGGCTCACCAGCTGGACGAGTTGGAGAAGGCTTTCGAGAGGACCCAGTATCCTGACATTTACACCAGAGAGGAACTTGCTCAAAGGACAAAATTAACGGAAGCCAGGATACAAGTTTGGTTTAGCAACAGGCGAGCCAGGCTTCGCAAGCAGGTCTCTTCAACATCTAATGGATACACTCCCATGACGTACTCAACGCCATACATGCTTCACTCGTCGGCACCACCTCATCCTCACGCTGCAGCAGCCGTGCCACCTGTTCATCCGCATCCTCATGCCCATTCTCAGAATTTATCAGATGGGGCGTTTCCAACTAACCAAGGTACAAAACAAAGGATTTAGAATGAGATACTTCTGAATTGACAAACTCTAAAATCTAAACAGACAGAAAAACGTTTGAGTCTCAGATACTTCACAATGAGATGATGTTCTTTAAACGTTAGCAGATGATCTCTCAACATCAGCCTTGGTTGAATTTCACTTGAAAGTTGTGAAAAATTATACATTATTTCTGTAAGAGTTAAGAGTCTCGCGTTTTCGCACCATTATGACGACGAAAACGACGTTTGATATCGAGAGACAAGTTAACATGGATTATTTTATTTTAGTTGCCGATCTATATCCCCATCATTCGGCGATGTCTCAACAATTAGTGGCGAATCCCCCACGACTACCGTCGTCCATTGCATCCGCTCCACCTTATAGCTTCGCGACTGCATCAGCTTATCATCCTGCCGCATTACTGCCAGCATCGTCCGCAGTTACTCCTATGAGTCACCAAGTGTCTCCCGTACCCTCTACCTCGTCCACCTTTCAAGCTGGCAGTCATCATCAGCTGCCACCGACTCCGAATTCTCTCGTCACTATGATGGGACCAAATTCCGGCAACTCAAATTCTGTTCCCGAGCAGCTGAATGCGCCAGAGTTGCCAATCAATCCAGTCTCGCCCGTACAACAACAACAACAGCAACAACAGCAGCATCAGCAGCAAACCAGTCAAGAAAACGTGACGCCATCGTGGAACGCTGCGATCACCAGCGGCGCTAGGATGAACCTCTCAAGTCCGCCGATGAGTCTTCAGCAACCTCACGCTTACAATGCTCATCAGGCTCATCAGGCTTTCGCTAGTTCTTATAGCGCTCAAGGCTTCCAGCAACAATCGAGGCCAACAAGTGCCTATTGGTTTTGAAGTTTAATTACAACGATACCGTAAGATGAGATTACTTTGTGACTGTAGGGGTTACTTTGTGACACAGTGAATATTAGTCAATAGTGATAATTATCACTATTGACCAATATTCACTGTGTCACAAAATAACCCCTACAGTCACAAAGTAACTCCATCTTACAGTATAAATTTTCGGACACTTGGTGAAAATATCAGACTTTGAGCTTATGGAAGACAATTAACATAAACAAGTTTTGTCCCTCTTTTGAAGAGAAGCAGTGACTACAGAGGAAATATGAATAAACGGATGAGTATTTTTAGAAATAATACGATTGGTAATTGTAAATGCAAAAATTACCTTTAAATGATTAATTAAAAAGTTAATCAGATGCCTTAGTATAATTATGTAGATTTACTATCCACAAAGAAAATAATAAGAAATGATAAAGAACTTTCTTGTATAGAATAATGATAATGTGTAGAAACGTACCGCTTGTGTAAAAGAAGACCGTGACAAAAGGGAAAGGAATAACTAAAATCTAAACGCGTTCATGTATATATGATTGTTAACGCAGTATTAAGTTTATAAAAATATCGTGTGAGATAAAAATTAATATTACGAATGCTCGACGTAACTTTAAAAAATGATACTTTTCTCATGTCTAAGATAGTACAAAAGTTATACTTTATGAAATAATTAAATTTAAGTAGATATTTACTAACTACTCTGTATATATATTATGTATATATATGTTATATGTCATATTTTTAAATTCAAAATTATTTCATAGAAAAAATCGTGTTTGTTTACGATACATTCATCGTAAAAAAGTAGAAACGCCCACGCACATGTACATACATTACATATACTCCCTTTTATCGGTTCTTCTTATATCTTCGTTTCTCTTTTTCTTCTTCGTTTACATTTATGTATGTTTTTATTTCAGATCGCTCCGCAATGCATTATATATTACGATGTAACTAAAAATTTATATTTTAACCTACATGCACTTTGATTGTATTTTTAGGCTTAGAATGTTCAACAATCTTAAATTTTACTGCGCGCCACGCGCGCGCGACAAAAGTAAAATATATAAGATTATAACTTTTTTATTTTATTTAAACACTTAACCTACCGGTAGCTATTAACCAGTGTGAAAACCTATCAATACGCTTTTGTCAAAACGATATTGTTGGAAAAGATATTGTTTATTAATTCAAAATTATTTAATTATACAATCATATAATTTGCTCGCAAAATACGATGTAAAATATGCAGTTAAAAATTGCACTTGCATCTGTTATTTTATGCGTAAATATCAGTTTTATCTTGCGGTTGAAATTAATTAATTCGTATTGTATCATAATGCATGTATGTTAATACACAGTTACGAAATAAAGACTTACACGAAATCTACAACTTGTGATCGTAATCTTTCTTATAAAAAAACTTATGTTTTTTTCCTTTAATACTTTGAACATGCGCGAGATTTCTTCTCTTCAACTTATATTAATATTTAATATATTGTAAGATATGCACAAATACCCATATATAGGGTATCTCAAAGCAACCTTCAAAACTGTCGTGGAGACATAGTACGAATTGAGGTAAACATAAAAATTCTATATGGTTTTGTAATATAATTGATAACTAAAGAAGATTGACGGATGGTTGCTCGCGATAATATATTAATATTATCTAATTAATAACTAAAAATCTACAAAGTTATTAGGAAAAAGGTAGAGAACTTCTTTGTTTTGTTGGACTTAATGTACAAGCATATGACGGCAGATGTCGCCACTACAGCTTATCTACGATATCTCGCGTAATCATTCACAAATCTTCTTCAATTAATATCTCGATAATTATTGCGAATATCGCAAAATAGTATAGAACTTTTATGTTCACCTTGATCCGTAATATGTTACCACGAAAGCTTCGAAGTTTGTTCTGCCCTTATAGAAATATCATACTAAGAATCATTGATAATTACTTATTTTCAGTATTAAAAATACTGGATAATAAGTAATTATCAATGATTCTTAGTATGATATTTCTATAAGGGTAGTACATCTTGTATATTAGTGTTATTAAATGAATAAACAAAATGCAGATATATTCGACTTAATTCGACTTCAACTTAATTTTTGTCATCAAAAAAGAGATACAAAATACATCTCAGCTGTAATTTGTTCAGTCAGTAGCATCTGTTTGTATAATTTCTTCTTCTCGTAATCCAGTTGTAATATATCCCGTGAGCAACTTATAAGTTTCTCTTCTGCCGCTCTAGAAGGATGCATGGAATCTGTGCCTCGAACTCTTGGATCTTGATCGGATATACATGTTAGAATGGATATCTATTTTCCAAAAATCAATCGTGTGAGACAATGTTCGTGTTAATTGGCAAATTTGTGAGATTACGCGGAATTTTTGCATTGTACCGACGCAAATCGATATTTACAATTTACCGTCTGTTGCTTCATTTCTCGCTTCGCTGGCACACCTTCAGCTCTCTATAGATGACTTGCCTCTGAACTTTTCTTCCATCTCAGCATTTGACTTTCCCCGTGTCTCCGGTAATACCGTCATCAGAAATATCGTGGCTGAGACGGATATCGAGCAATAGAAGTACATAGTAGCGAGCTTATTCTGTTTTACCATCATCGGGTAGAGTTGCACATTAATAAAATGCAGCATATTTAATAATAAAGAATGCATCGGCCCAATAACAGACAGATATCTGATAGGAGACATTTCCATCGTCATCACGACGGGAAGTATCGTAAATCCAAACGTTCCGAAGATCTGCAATGAAATTTATCGGAAGAATATCATAATTAACAAGTTAAATAACAAGTATTCGAAGGGATTTTGTAGTAGGTCGGCAAAATTAGGTCACTCTTGTTGGACTCGCCATTACGAGAGAAAGAAAGAGATCACGCGCTTAAAAAAATTTCAAGGGAAATTTGCGGGAGAAAAAAAAATATCGTCTCACCATGCAGCCGAGAATACAAACGAGCGGTATGGCTACGTAGCCGGTAGTCAAGAAATGTATGTACAACGTCAAGCCACACATAAAGATCGATACACCGACGCTAGAAGTGATGGCGATGAATCGCCTACCGACCCTGAGGGAGTTTCAACTTCTATTTTACGAATTACGTTTGAAAAGCAAATGATAATTGTTTTAGCTGTAATGGGCGATAATAAATCAAAGTGAGAAAAAGAAAGACGCGATTACCTCGTACTGCAATACACGCAGATAAAGCCGGTTCCCAAATTAACGATCCCTATGAAAACAGTGACTAAGAACGGGTCTACTGCAATATTGACATCTATAATTATATTGACAGCATAGACTATGATTACGTTTATTCCGCAAAACTGTTGAAAAATTATATAAGTGCTCGATATCATCACTGGTTTCCACACTTCCGGCAAACAGGCTGCCTTTACAAAGTTGTTTAGTTTCTTTCATATTCTCAAAAGAAGCGGCATGATCTCTTCCTTCGGAGATTCATTGTTGTTTCTTTTCTCATAGTAATGTACTATTTCGTCGAACTCTTTCTGAAACTCCGCCGTTTCCGGACGGCCTTGCAATCAGCGGAGTCGAAGCAGAGCGAGCCTGGCTGCTTCTTTTTGTTCTTTCATGACGAGGAAAAGGGGACTCTCGGTCAAGAAGAAATACGTACAAAACAAGGACAATATCGGCACGATAGTAGAAAGTATAGCAACGAGCCTCTAATCGTTCTGAAACGATTATTGAAATGTTACTGAAAAACGTAATGCATATTTCTTAAATAATTTACGTATAAATTATTTTAATTTATAATTATTTAATTTTAATCCTTAAATTGTCAACTGCGTAATCCTTAAATTGTCAACTGTCATCATTTGTTCCGAATGAAGAAACGTCGCAATTCGAATGATGAAATTTGATCGAAAAGAAAAACAAATTTAAGATTAAAGAATATCTTTTTCAAATTTGACTTTCTTACGCTTTTTCATTAGGACGAAAACGATTATCTTATCTAAAATAAATTAATGATATCTCTCACCCGTATAATATATCCTAGAATATATACGAATAAAATTCCGAAATTATAGCATAAGACTGCAAACACTGTGATGGGTTCTTTCCAAGTGGGTAAGACGATTTCGTATATATACATTGTGGTGAAGAAAGCGCTTAGACCGTTACAAAATCCTGAAAGTTTTCAATGCTTAATTTCAGTTCTTAATTAACGGGTGATCTCATCAACTTTATTGACGTGTAATCGTGTTTGAAGAGCAATCTGTATTACTTTCCTCCTCTGTCTACACATCGATGACGAGCCCGTGCCTGTTATCGATAACGTACGCTCGCATTGCCTCCATGTCAATTTATGTATAATTAATTAGCAAGTATAGCACACACGATAATACATGGAAAATACCGCATCATTCAGCTGCATTGTTATATACATCATAAACCGTTTGTGCAATTAAAAACGTTAATTCGTGGAAAATATACCACATCAGGTAAATTCTTAGGGTTTCATTTGCGGGATAAACAGTTGGGATAGATAAATAAATAAATAAATCTCCTCTAATTAATGCGACTCGCTCCTCTTAATTAATAATTCGTCGATGGAATTTATGTCGATATAAATTACTGAAGACGCACGACGCCGCATTTTAACATTCTCCGTTTCGTCGTGCTTTCATTCTGCTTATAGCTTATAGTTATAACAAATTTTACAAGGCATCTCAATGAGACTCTGATAACTGTGAGAATCTGATCACGAGCGAAAATCGATTCTAATCTTGATTCGTTATCGAAACTTCTCACCCGTGATCATTCTGCCGATTAAGAGCTGCGTTACGGAGTTACTGCTAATAATCACGACCTATCCTAAGATAGTTAACGTGGAGATCATTATTATGCCATAACGTCTCTGAAGTCCATCAAACAGGATACCCAAGAGGGTGCCAACTAAGTGATCAGCGAATGGTATAGAAGCTACAAAAATAAGGAGATATCTATTCACTATATAGATTATAGTGAGTTCACTTTCTGTTACAACATTTTCAGGTGTATTTCACACCTCGTAACTAATAAAAAAGTTCAAATAAGCATAAGTCCCAAGACTGTTAGTTTTAGAGATTACAATCATTTCTCGGCATAGCGCGAATTATGTACGAAGCACCCAAGTTGGCACAGCAAATAAAATAAATGTGAAGAAATCTTGCCAACAATTTTACTTGACCTTCACCTATATAATGTACCTAGACTTATCTGATAACATCAATTTATCAGATCTCTGAGGAAGTATCCATATAGCACAAATCTCTAAGACTTTTTAAAAAATTCCAATTGTGTTCTGAAGGATTTGGAAACTCTTTTGGAACTCTTTAAGAAGTCTTCTAGACATTTGTACTATATGGGTAAAGTGTTGTTTCTGTATTTATTTTTATATATTCGTCATACTACTCTAAAAATATATGATAAACTCCATACCAATATTAAGTATTCAAGAGTTGCAGCAATGAATATTAAAAATTCCGGCAAAATCATAATAAATCATATGACAAGGTTCAAACGTATAAGATTACTGATACGTATCGACATCGACACATGTATGACTGTCAATGATATTTCAAATATTTGTTGTGAAATAACATTTTAAACAAAAATGGCTCTATCTCGAAAAAGTACTAACTTTAGAATTCATGTTCACATAAGAATTTTTCTGTTGTTAGATTAGAATTGTATTTACAAAATATATTTGCAAATTTTATACATTCATCCTGTATTATTTTCATTATCTGTTTAATATGTCATAAATATGAAATTCTTAAATTTTTATCTCTTTATATAACCTGATGATAATCCACCATTTATTTAATTCAGCACACAAAAAATTGTTCTTTGTATACATAGTATTTGCCTTTTTATCGAATAAATGAAATGGATAATTAATGTTAATGTTAATAATTATATGTCACTTAGCGATAAGATAATATCTCTGGTGCGAAAGTAAGTCAGAATAACTTACCGAAAAGCGGTATTTCCGTTTCGGCTAAAGTTATCGACGTAGTGTTACTTGCTAACACTGGGAGCACTACGGCAGAATAACCGATACTACAACCTAATCCGCTCATGATTAATATCACGATAATTATGTGTAATAACTATAATAAAAAAAAGAGCATGCAAAAATTACATATTAGATATATCATTAACTCCTCAAATTTCATAGTGTTACAAAATTTAAATAATCACGACTGAAATTATACAGTAAAGTATATAAATTTTCTTAACCTTCAGTTTGTATATATTGTTGTATAATTGATTTACGTAGGTTGTGTAAAGACAGTTTTACAAAACTACTGTTTTACAAACTTGCTTCACACAACCTACGTAAATCAATTGT